TGTGTTTGCAGGTGCTGCTGGGACTGTTGACGGGCTCAGAGAAGCAGTTTTCCTCACGGAGCAGCGGCGTCACCTCCCAGGAGCCGTACAACATCCTGCCACTGGCCAGCAGCCAGATCAGGTCAGAGGTCAACGCTAGCCCCTGCTGGACATTAGTGACTCATTAATAACCACGTGACATTAGTGACATCTGTATGATCAGGATAAAACGAAACACAGCAGTGCTGCCGTTTTCACACGTCCTGCAGATAGAGTCCAGACAAGTGGGTGCAGAGTTTGTTCACAGTTTTTCTTTCACACACGCACAATGAGCAGGAGGTTGTCAGCTGCACCTGAATAATACGGAGGATATGTTGCTGTTATGAACATGTCTGAACCTCCTGCTCCTGATGTGCAAGTCTGAAAGTCAAACTCTGGGTAAACCCCGGACCCAGCTCTCCAGACTTCATTTTCAGACATTACAGTGTTTCCCACTGAATAAAACTAGACTGGCACTCAGTAGAGCACATCGCTCCACCAAGCAGGAGCAGCAGTGAGGCCTGTTACTGTTTGTTACTGTATCATTGTTAGTGATGCTTAATCACTGACTAATTAAATTCACTAGATTTTATTTGCATCTGCACCAAATCATGCACACTCATAAATATCAGTCCCCTCAACATGTCAGATTGTTTTTTTCCATCAAGATCAATTAATTATTCTCAAAAAAACAAAAACAAATTTGTGCTCACAAAGCTTGAACTTTTTGGAGAGGACTCTGACTGGTCATATCTCCCCTAATTGAGGGTCCTGTGTTTTGAAACTCTTTTTCAGCTCCATATATATATCGATATATCCTCCTCTATATAAAAACAATTCTGAGAAAATGTTCCATCTCGCAAAATCAAAGAAATGTAAAAAAAGAAATCCTGCCAACAAACAAACGTGGATGTAAACATAACTTCCATGGTGGATTTTGTTCATCAGTGAAGAAAGCTTTCAGGAGCCCTTCATCCACACAACATCTGTGCATGATGCTCTCTCATATTCTCCAGTCTGCTTTCCTGCAGTCACACTTTAAACCCCAACAGTTCATTTAATCTATGGGTCTGCTTGTTCCTAAACAATCAAATGTATTTTCTAGTTCTGGAGACAGTAGTGCTGCTTACGCAGTCTCATATCTGTGATGTCTACGGAGTGAAGCCTTTGACCTTCGCCAAGCTCTGACACTTCCCAAACACAACAGCCTGTTGCACTGTGCCCCAGAGAGGACAAGAGACTGTGTCTATGAAAATTCCAGAATAGATTTAATCTGATTTACATCATGTTGAGGAATATTTATGTTTTTCTTCAAAAGCCTTTTTTTCTCGGAGCATTAGGTCAAATATGTTTATTGTCTTCACAAGGCAGCTATGAGAGCTCCACTTAATAACTACATATATAAAAATTCAGATTCACATCTGAAGTTGTCTGATTAAATAATCAAACGTGTGAAGCTAAGCAAGTATTTGTTACATGCTGCTTCGTATATCGTACATTTTTTTTCAGATTCATTTCATGCAGTTCAAGACAGGATGAAACTGATACCAGATTTCTATATTTCTGATCAGATAACATTATTATGTCGACCTAACCCCAGCCATGTGTCTTCTGTGCTCTGCAGGTTTGGACTGCTGCCTCTCAGCATGTCCAATGTGCGCAAATCCATGTTTGTCTCCAGGAATTCTGAAGCTCCGCAGAAGCTGGTGAGTAACTCGGCTGGGATCAGGTCGCTGAGGCTGCTCTGAGTTTTTGTTTGTTTGCATTTGTTTTGTTCTTTCATTCACTGACATCCACAGTGTGTCTTCATTTCTGTTTCATTGTTTTGTTCCACTCGGTGTAAATGTTATCTGTCACACCCTCTGCCCTCCCAGCATTTCTGAGTGCCAGAAACCCAGGCAAGTTAATCAGTGTGGGATTACATTTGTGTGTGTGTGTGTGTGTGTGTTTTGGTTGTATTGCTAGTAGTGACTTGGTTTGCCTTTGGTGCATTTGCAGTGTGAGAGTGGTTCATTAATTGATTTGAATGATTGTTGTGGTCTGGTGGCTGCAAACAGTTCTGCTCTGTTCTCACTAATCTGGTAAAATAACTTTGGATCAGACTGTTGAGTAGCAGCACAGCAGCATTGACCCTGGGGCTTTCTTAACTGTGTGAGTGGACCAGTCCTTGAAATGTAACTGACTAAGTTTGTGTTAGTGTCAGCAGGAATACAAACTGGTGTCTCTGCAGCAGAAATGATGCACCTGATACCAGAAATAGTCATCGCTTCCAGTGTCATTGAAATTTCCACAATTTGAGATCTCTAAATTGTGTCATGTGACGACACAAAGATCTTAGTGCTTGCAAAAGTTAGGGATTAGTTTTATCTGGATGCATTGTTTCAGGTCCAGAATGCATCATGGTAAGTCAGCACTGCATTAACTGAATGAGCCGTGTGTGTGTGTGTGTGTGTGTGT